TGTCAAAGGCGCTCGGAGCAGAGAGCCTGATTCGATTAGGAGCAATTGTGCTCCCGTATCGCCCATTTCCTGCTGCCCCCAGCCCAGCGCGGCCCCTCCCCGCCAGGTCAGCGCCACCGGGGGGCTCACCCACGTCCAGGATGTCCAGCATGACCACGTCGGACACGGCCACCCCCAGGCGGTTGGACGCCTCCACCCAGATCTCGTAGGGCGTGAAGAGGGCCAGGTCCTTGGGGATGTGGCAGGAGTAGGTCCCGGCCGTGTGGTATTCCTGGCAGGTGTTGTCCTGGCCGTACCACCTGCGGGCAGGTGATGGATGAGCTACGGGCACCGCTCCCCCGGCCCCGAGATGCTCCCCTGGGCCGCTTTTTGGCCGTTCCACACCTCCAGAACTGCGGGATCGGCCCCGTGGTTCACCCAGCTCAACCAGTATTTTGGAACAATAAATTGTTTTTAACCATGACGGGGATGAAGGTGAGCACCCACCTGCGCTTGTACTTGAGGGTGTAGTTGGTGTGCAGGAAGGTCTCCCCTTCTGTCCCCGGCACCCACTTGCAGGTCAGGTCCTTCATGTTTTTGGACCAGCAGGTGATGTTGACTGGTTTTTCTGGGGGTACTGGGAGAGACAAAAAACAAAAAACAAGAGGTTCCAGAGCTGGTTTTCTGCAGCCACGGAGACAAACCCCAAACCCGAGCTGGTTTCCCAGCTGAGCCTCTGTGTTCCCGGGAACGCGTAGCGACCCAAAAAACAAACCCAAGCTGCATTCCCCGTTCCGATTCCATGTTCCTGGGACTTTGCATCGTCCTTAAAATAGCCCGAGATAAAATCTTACGATTATTGGTTCGGACAAGTGCGTTTTAACCGAGGCTGTTCCGAAACGGCCTCTCGGCTGTGCCTGGGTCCGGGTTCCACCCCGACACCCCGAGCAGCTCCTGGCACACTGCGGTGAGAACCGGGGAGATCCGTGGGGATCCCCGGCTTCTCTCCCATGGGGGAGGCGCATCCCGGGGCTGGCTGGGGGCTGGCACAGGGCAGCTGGACACCCGCAGCAGCTGGACCCTGGCACTGAGTGACCAGACCCTGGCACTGAGTGACCTCAACACAGAGTGACCCCAGCACAGAGTGACCCCAGTACAGAGTGACCAGACCCCAGCACAGAGTGACCCTGGCATGGAGTTTCCAGAGCCCAGCTGAGTGACCTCAACACGGAGTGACCAGACCCCAGCACAGAGTGACCCCAGCAGAGTGACCTCAACACAGAGTGACCCCGGCACGGAGTGACCCCAGTACAGAGTGACCAGACCCTGGCACAGAGTGACTCTGGCACACAGTGACCCTGGCATGGAGTGACCAGAGCCCAGCAGAGTGACCTCAACACAGAGTGACCCCGGCACGGAATGACCCCAGTACAGAGTGACCAGACCCTGGCACAGAGTGACCCTGGCACACAGTGACCCTGGCATGGAGTGACCAGAGCCCAGCATGGAGTGACCCCAACATGGAGTGACCAGAGCCCAGCATGGAGTGACCCTGGCACGGTGTGACCCTGGCACACAATGACCCTGGCATGGAGTGACCCTGGCACACAGTGACTCCAGCACGGAGTGACCAGAGCCCAGCATGGAGTGACCCCGGCACAGAGTGACCCTGGCACAGAGTGACCCTGGCATACAGTGACCCCGGCACAGAGTGACCCCAGCATGGTGTGACCCCAGCATGGAGTGACCCCAGCATGGAGTGACCCCGGCACACAGTGACCCCAGCACAGAGTGACCCCGGCACTGTGTGACCCCGGCACAGAGTGACCCCGGCACAGAGTGACCCCGGCACAGAGTGACCCCGGCACAGAGTGACCCCGGCACAGAGTGACCCCGGCACTGTGTGACCCGAGCCCAGCCCAGAGCGGCCGGAGCCCAGCTGGGATCAGCAGCACCAACGTACATCCAACATAAAGGCAGGAGCCGGCCAGGATGCCGCCGTCTCTGCTGTGACACACCAGGTTGTCCCCTGACTGCTGCCTGGAGCCGTTGAGGCGAGCGAGGGCCACGCTGAGCGTGGAGGGGCCCAGAGCAGCGTAGGACGCGGCCGGGAGGCGCCGTCCGTTCAGAGTCCAGTACAGATCCTCGGCTTTCAGCGGAAAGTCCGGGCTGACCGTGCATGTGGCCACCAGCGAGGAACCGATCAGCAGCGTGGGGTCTTGGGGGGAAATCACGGCGGGGTCTGCAGCCGGAGAGACAGAGAGCGAGGGGAAAAATCAATTATGGAGGGTTTGGGATTGAGCTAATGAGGTTAGGGCTGGTTGAGTATGTCCTAATGTCTATTTAAATACATTTTGTATCTGGTTTGCATTGGTTTAAACGCCTTTATGTCTCTTCTGTATTCATTTAAATATGTTTTATAGCTGTTTAAATGCATTGTTTTGCTATTTTACATCGATTTGAATCATCACGTCTATAGCAATTTGATTCATCATATATGTTTTATATTAATTTAAATACATTGTTTAGCTATTTTACATCGATTCAAATCATCACAAGCCTATACTGATTAAATCACACATCTATTTTATATTGATTTAAATCATCACACGTCTACTTTATATCAATTTAAACACACTGGTTTCCATTTTACATCATTTTAAATACACTGGTTTCTATTATATTTAAATGCGTTTCATATCTATTCTTTACTTCTGCACATTTTACATTCTTTATATATCTAAAGACATTTTATATCTTTTATATCTATTTAAATAGTTTTTATATCTATTCTATATCTCAATACACACCTATTCTTTATCTATTTAAACACGCTTTACACCTACTTTTATATCTACATACATATTATATCTAAACACTTTCAATATCTATTTTTATATCTATATCTATTTTAGAAGATTAAAATACTTTTTATATTCACTTTTTATTTTTTATTAATTTTTATTCCCCAGGGCTGGGGCGGGGCTGGGTTGCAGCTTCGGAAGTTTTTTTCCGCTACAAAAAGATTTCAAAAAAGAAAATCCTTGGGGAATTTTTTTATTTTTTTTTTTTTCCCATCCCCCATCATTTTCCAGCACTGCCGAGATCCGGAATTTCCCCCTGGATTGGGAAGCGCTTCCTCCTCACCCCCACCCACCGTGCTCTCCCAAACCCCGCATCCCCCAAATTCCCAGCCCGCTTTAACCCGAGACCCCTCGGCCGCGAGGTTTCCCCTCCCGGCCCCGCTCCGGGGTGTTCCGTGTCCGTCAGTCCTTATCGGCTCCATCCGCACGCGCCGGGCTAATATCCCAAATTACCTCCCGGAAAGTGCCGCGACCTCCCCGCCCCTCCGACCTCCCGGCCCCGCTCGGCTTTCAGCGCCCGGCTCCCTCCCGGCGCTCCCCAAATCCCCCGGAGATCCTAAAGAGGGGTCCCCGCTCCGCCCCCCACCCTCCGCAATTAGCGCTCCCCAATCCTCGTTACGCAGGGGAGGTTTAATTAGGAATTGCCGCCGTGCCTGGGGGATGCTGGGGAGGGGGGGAGTGAGAAAATCCAGCGGGGAAACGCGGCCAGGGACCCCCAAAATATCCCTGGATTGGTGGAGGACACCCCCAGGCACCCCGAGAATCCACGGGTGGGTGCCGGGCACCCCGGGTCGGTACCGGGTACCCCAAACACCCACGGGATGGTGCGGGATGCTCCGGGGTACCCCGAGGGTCGGTACCGGGTACCCCGAACATCCACGGGATGGTGCGGGATGCTCCGGGGTACCCCGAGGGTCGGTACCGGGTACCCCAAACACCCACGGGATGGTGCGGGATGCTCCGGGACACCCCGAGAGTCGGTACCGGGTACCCCAAACATCCGCGGGATGGTGCGGGATGCTCCGGGGTACCCGCGGGTCGGTACCGGACACCCCCGGGATGCTCCGGGACACCCCGAACACCCGCGGGTGGTGCTGGATCCATCCCACCCCCAGAACAAACCCTTCCAGCGAGGCCTCCGGAAACCTCATCCCCCCTCTCGCCATCGAGCCCGGAGCTGCCGCGGCTCTGCCCACACCGGACCCACAACTCCGAGCCCTGATTCTCCTAAATCTTCACCCAAACAGCCCCAGAAACTCGCACGAGCGCGTTAAAACAGACACATTTCCCATCCTCCGAGCAGGACCCTCTGGAAGGGCCAATTTTCTCTCTCTATATATTTTTTTTTCCCCTGGATTTTGGGTTTTTTTTTCCCTCCTCCAAGCAGAACCCTCTGGAGGGGCCAATTATAGACGTATATATATTATATTTTTTTTTCCCCCCTGGAATTATTTCCCCCCCACTCAGCGCGGCCACAGCGCAGAACATGTGTTTTAAAAGGGAAAAGTGTGAAGTTTTCCGATCGGAGAGGAAAGGGCCGGAGAGCTGTGGAATGTGCAAGTTGCAACGAAAATACCTGCTCGGGGGTTTTATGGCTTCTCTATTGCAAAAAAAAAAAAATGCTGATCAGGTGCTAAGTAATGCTATAAAGTAAAACCACATTTCCAAGGTGTCGGGAACGTTTATGCTTTTCTTTCGAAGGGCCGGATTTCATTTTAGTTTTATATCGGAGTTTTAAGGGGTTGGGAAAGAAAAGGGGAGTGGAGGGAAAAAAAAAAAAAAGGGAAAAAAAAAAGCTCCGATAAGTGTCAGAGATCACACGGTTAAAAAAAGATTTATTGAGCTGTGCAGGGGGTTAAAGGAAAATAGAAATAATTGCCCTGAAGAACAAAAGGGAATTTGGGAAGCTCTGAATTCCACAGGAAAAATAAAATTAAATATATATGTGTAGTTAGAGCTCTTCTGAAAGTCGAGCAGCGGGGTTTGAGGGCAGACACGGTGCCCAAAAAACGCTTTATCCCTCTTTTCTCCGCTGCTCTCCGGTCTTTTTTCCCCGTTTCTCATCCCCGACTGGCATTTCTCGTGCCCATCCCTGGGCTCGAGGAGGGATTTATAAAAAGCCCAGGCATTCCAGCGCGGCCGAGCTGCACCGAGGGGAAACTTTCGCTCTCTAAAAGGAGATTTTGGCTTCGCCTTCGCCAGCTCCGCACGTCGAGGGGCGGCGGGGCCAGCGCTGCCCCGGACCCCCGTGGGGAGGGAGAGATGGGGGTCCCGGGGGGGGGACGCGGCTGATCGGGAGGAGAAAGGAGCGGGCTCAGCCCCAGCGAGGGTCCGGCTGTGGCCTCGTGTTGTTCCCGGTGGGATCGGCCCCTCCAGGCA